CCCCCCCCAGCTAATACACTCGAAGTGTCACTAAGAGCGCCCGGCGGGGAGAGGGTGGAGCTTAGAAGCGTGGTTTACAGCGTTTATTGTAAGACTGACGGCCGCTCGTGCTGTCGGCCGCACCGCGGAGCGTCTCGCGAACGAGGCGACGGGGGCGTGTCAGTCGCGGGCAGCCGCACCGCCTCAGCGCTGCTTCACATGGGTACCTGATCAGGGGGAAAGCGGGGAAATCAAAGTAGACAGGAGCTAAAGGACGAGAGGGCTGAGGCTTTGAAGCAGGGCAGCATGTGTTTTCATTATTATTATTATTATTGTTATTATTATTATTGAGGCTGGTTGGTTCTGCACGAATCAATATGCTCCTGCAGTATGACAATGAGAATCACTTGCCACCAAAGCAATATTCTTTTCCTGCGCACAATATATTCTGCAAGAAAGGCTGCAGGTGCAATGCACTCCAAGATTACAAGTACAGCGCACTCGACACACTCAATATCACGGCCCTTTTGTGCCACGGCAGGGAGCCCTGCGTGGAATTATGAGGCGACGAGGTCGGGCCGGGCAGGCCGGCGAGCCGATGGCAGAGCAGATCCCCGGCAGGCTGGTACGCTGCAAGCTGAAAGGTCTGAACTCACTGCATTGGTGGCCCTGGAGGATGATGTCCTTGATGGCGAGCAGGCCCCGCTTCCCCGAGGTCACCACTTCAAACACGACCTGCAGAGATGAAGGGGAAGGAGATAATGAGACAGGGATCACATGACCTGGGGTGTATTTGGATGTGGATCTAAACTTCCTATTAAAAACAAACGGGCAGCCACTGCTGTGGAGGAGAGAATGGAGAGTCAGTGGGGTCAAGGGGCTCATAATTTGTTTGCAGGAGAGTGCAAGAAGGCAGGGTGGCTGGGGTCACATGTCCCTATCTAGCCAATCAAAGGCCTCTCCTCTCCCAGAGAGACTCCACAGTGACATTGTGAAGAGTCCGCAAAAAGTGTGACAGTCGTCTCTGCTCTGCCTGGTTCGAAACGCGACCTACGTCTCAGGAAGCACCCGTCCATCCTTGGTGGGGGGGGAGGGTGGGGGGACCCTCTCTCCATTACAGGGCGTTTGCATCATTCTCGTCGACCGCCCCAGCCGATAAATTCTCCACGTTCACTTGTTTCCGCAGAAACGACGAACACAACAGAAAAAAAAAAAACTCCTGACAAATCAGTTCTCACTCTCAGAACCGGCAGCGATCGAGAGAAGAGGAAGCGTTCGTCTTATCTAGGCGGAAACAACAGGCTCGAAAAGCCAGCCCCCTTCCACCAGTCGCACTGGCGGGGGGCCAGGATACAGTTTACACAACTCTGGGCCGATGACAGAAATGCAGCCTGATGTGCCCCCCCCCCCCCACACACACACACACACACACACACACACACACAGGGGAAATGGTACAGTCCGAGCCAGACAAAAAGTGCAGAACCTGTCCTCACAAGCCATCCTCTCACCGGCGTGGAGGCTAACCCAGGATTCATAATCACATAGCTACGGCTTGGTGGTCACATGACCCCCCCCCCCCCCCAGTGGCATACTCATATGCCAAATCCCAGATCGGAGCCGAACCAACACAGTTGGCCATGAGGGGGCAGTGCACTGATCAGAACATCAGTCGTCGCACAAAGCAAGGGCGTGCCTCTCCCATCCGGCAGTTTGAACCCGACATTCCCAGGTTGATGCCCCCAGACGACACCTCCCACGTGTTCCCAGCAACCCCAGCTAGTCGCAGATGGCACGTCCCGAACTTAAACCCCGCATTCTGGCATCTGGCGAAACTCGCCGGGGGTCCGAGTGGACCGCGCGGCTGCGGGCACGGCAAGGAGGGGGGGGAGGGGGTTCCACAAAAACGCAAGCTAAACAGTTTGAGCACTAATTAATTAGCAGCCCAACCAGGGAGTCATGCTCAAGAAAGCAGAAGAACACACATCTGTGTGGGGCGTGCCCACGCCGGGCCGCTGGGCAGCGCCAGGGCTGCAGGCCACTGCCTCCTGTTCAAAGGCACACAGCTGTCAGCTGACAGAGGGCCCACTCAACTTCTACTCCCCTTTCGAACCTAAATAATGTTCATAGCGACATGCAGACACATCCAGAAGGAGGCGCTGGTGTATCAAGTAGAACGATACCTTTACCATAAACCATGAAAATCTGTCACTAGTTACACTTAACCACACCAAGACTAGCTATAACCAAATCAGAATATTCCCCTACCAGAGAATGTTACTTCTTTAGCATAATCTATTTATTCAGTGAAAGTTTGTGTTCTTATTGAATTTTTTTCTTCAGCTGCTTCAAGACTGCAGCATATTCCAACAATTTCAAGTAATTATACCAATATAAAAATATAAAACGATAACACAAAACCAAAAGGAACAATGCAAGATTTTTTTCCAGTTCAGGAGTGCAGCACCGAAGGACTGAGCTCATTCAGATGGATGTAACGTAATCAATTAAAACTTTTTGAAGGTAACCTGGCACCAAAGTAATTATCATAACTCACGGACTGTTTCACGTACAGGAAATAAAAAATAATCTAGTCCCTAATTACGAAATAAAGACAATGTAATCTGCAAGCACCAGGTGGTTTGATTTTGACAAACACTGTACTGTGCAATTACAGATACCTATAATTAGGTCTACATTGCTAATTAGGTATCATTTTCAAGATTACAGTTTCTCGTACTCAAACAGAAGAGTAATAAAAAAAAAAAATTTGATCAGCAGCCTCGGCAAATGATTCTCCGTGACGCAGATTCAGGAAGGATGCACAGATTGCCAAAGACAGACGGCCCCTTGTAGCCCCTGTGGCAGACGCCAGACAGCCCAACCCCCCCGCCCCGGGCACCCTGTGTGGGTGCGGGGGGTGTTGGGCCAGTGCGATGCTGCAGCTGGGCCCCTTTAACGAGGCCGTGGGCCTGGAGCCCAGCAGCCACACGACGTGCTGGGACACATCTGTGCTGCTGCAGTCACCCCAGTGGGGGTGGGGCCTGGGATGGGGGTGGGACTTAGGAAAGGGGCGGGGCTGAGGGAGATTGGGCCTTTCTGGCCACATGGCTAATCCCGCTGCTTTTTTTTTTTTTTAAAGCTGGAACAATGAAAGATTTTCTTCTTAAATACACACTGGAATGAGCCCAGCAAAGCCCCCAAGAGCAGCTCTCAAGGACCAATTTATGACGTCAGGGTTTACATTCTTAACAGATTTGCAGCTTCCCTCTTAACATATCGACCATCAAGCGCTTTTCAGGTCCCCCCCGCCCCCACACCCAAGCCTCCCCACCACATAAATCCAAACTAAAATAAGTCTCGCTGAGAGATGCCCGGCTTTACACCAGATCCTGGACGTGTCCCACCGCCGGCACTCCCTACCTTGGAGAGGGGAGGTACCCCCCCCCCCCCCCCCCCACATCGCTGGAGCCATCCTCACCGCCATGCGGCAAAAACAGTGCAAACCCTTATGCCATCTTTACAATGAATTAATTGCATTCTGTCTAGAACAATCTTAAAAATGCTCCGCCGCTGTTCAGGAAACAGGAGGCATGCTGTCCAGGGCGGCCATCGGAGAACGCGCGGAACCCACCCCTGCTTTGTTCCTTTAATTGCATTCCCTTTCTGGAAACTTCTCCAGCTCCAGCTCTCTCATTAGCCATGAGAGTTCTTAAAAAAAAAAAAAAAAAAAAACACTGCCCAGGCTTTGCTCCCTTCCACTTTCCAACAGCCATGCTACGAGTATGCCCCCCCCCCCAACACACTCACACAGACACACACCTGTTCTCATGCAGAGGGCCATAATGAAATAACTCCCAGGCTCACAGGAGGCCAATTTTTTATTGGAAGGCAAACGGGACGTCTCTGTCAAATAATATCCAGTCCCCAGGAGAAACAGAGGTAAGGAGAGCGAAAATCAGGCAGGTGTCAAATCACCCTTCCCAGACTCCTTTGCTGTACATTGTCAGGTGCGAACGCGTGTTCAGAAAAGACACTAATTAGGGAGAGGTTCTGATGTCTCTGACAGGAAGTAACTTCTTCCTACAGTCACTTTGCATCACAGTCACACCGAAGATAGTCTGAAGGTACCACACAGGACAGACCCCAGGGAGGAGCTCACAGGAGCTGCTGATACGGGTTCCACCTGAAGAAGCTGTTGCTGCTCTTCATTTTCCCCGGATTCCTGGTCCATGATCTACTGATAGATCTCTAAAAAAAAAAACCGTCACGGGGTTTTCGAACGAATACCAGAATTAGCCGGCGAAGCTGACGTGCGCTGAGGTTTCGAGTGGCAATTCTCACCTGGTAGAACTTGGGCCAGAAGGTGCTGACAGCCAGCTCGAGCTGGCCCCAGGTCCGAGAGGCTGGTCCCGAGGAGTTCCACACGGGGAAGCCCAGCGGGCTGTTGTTCTCCTTGACGTAGATGTTGAGCTGGCCCGGCACGGTGCCCTCCCAGCCTGACACGAAGTACTGCAAGATGAGGCAGTGGGTGTCATTCTCGCGCAGCTGGGGCATCAGGAGGTGGGCCTTCTGTCCCGCTGACCGGCCGGAGGCGTTCACCATCATGAAGGCGGATCCTGAGGGACGAGACAGGAACACGGCAAGGCTTAACGGCATCTCTCACCGAGCGGAGATCCAAACGGAGATCGCCAATTAAACTGCAGTTCGGCGGGCTTCAGGCACAGGAGAACGGCGGTCTAATTGGGGACACATTCCCCTGACAGATGGGCCCCGCTTCTGGGGGACTCTCACAGAGATTGTGCCCCCCACGGATAACTAAGTATCCTTATTTTTCCCCTAATTAGGTGCAACTTACTGAAACTTGGGTCCATCAATGGAGGAGATTGCTCCTGATGGTCCAGGAAGTTAGCACAGGTACCGACCAGGAAGCACCGCTGAATATGAAGCCAGCATAATTACCAGCAAACGCCCCGTCTTTATTCTGTGTTCGTCGCCACCAGAAAACTAACTGGAAGTCATGCGCGAGCTCAGTTAGCGCCCTGGATTCGGATGCGTGGACATAACAGAAACAGAAAGTTTAGAAAGGCTACGGTGCTTTTCTAAAGTCCTCATACACACAGATATGAAGCAATCACGACATCAGATTCACTGCAGGCTATTTTGAGACCTGCTCTGGGGGGGGGGACGACGACTGTGCCATGGGAAGGCCTCTGATGAACTGTGAGTGGGAATGAGGCACAGGTGTAGCGGCTGAATGGACTAAACGACCCCCCCCGCCAGCCGCATTAAATAGCCCATAATCTGTCCAACCGCCACACCTATGGCTTTGGCTCAGATCCCACAATGGCTCAGGGGGTCTCTGCATGGGGGGCATGAGGCCCCAGACAAGCCCTGCCCAACATCTTCCTCACGCCAGGGACAAAAAGAACCTCAGACAGTCTCACTCTGTGACTCCCCCCCCATCATGCATGACAGAAGTCCACTTCACAGAGGAACTTCATGGGGCACACTCCTGCACACGGCGTCGTAACTCGCTAAGACCGTGGGCAGGGTGGGGGTCCCGCTATCCCAGGGCACACTAATGAGTGCGGCCGCGCTCACTTTCTGCCCCCCACCCCCCTTTTCATTCTGCGGCGGGAGACATGCTTGCATTCCTCAGCAAACCTCCAACCAGGGCAGACCGGTCCCCTCAGAAACGGCACGTACCACGCCAGTCACCAAGGGGGGGGGCTGCCTTATTTCATTATGGTAGCGTCCACGGCTGAACTTCTAATAACGTCACAAAAAAAAATCAGAAATAATGCTGACTAACAATGAACCCATCAAATCGACAATTCGGCTGAGAATGTCCCCCGCGTGAATCCCAGCGACCATCAGCAAACCTCAGGAAACTCCAAACCACAGAGCGGCGAGATGCCAGCATCCCAGACTGCCGACGACTGGAGGGTGCGGGGGGCGAAGTCACTCTCCATGCCCCTTAATCCTGTCATCTGCTCGGGTACTGGGAAGCCCCACCCAGGTATCCAGAGGCTCGACAATAACAACTCAAACTGCATCCAATAATCACACAACGAATAGATCAATCTAGACTGAAATAGACTTCAAAATCTCAGGCATTACAGATTCTTCCCCGTGACTAAATGACATCCTCGTTATTATCACGTTATCTTTCTGCCATTCGAAAGGTGGCACATGCGTAACGTGACCTTGTATTGTTGACGTTCAATCTTTTACAGAAGGCTACCCCCCCCCAGTTACATGTCCACCCTTGTGCGTTCCGGCTCCTCTGCTCTTGATTAAATTGCAGGGCGCTGTTGCATTTCACCAACTCGCCCCCCCCACCCCCGACAGGGCAACATCGCTGTTGATCCCCATTAGCTCCCGGCACAGTGCGCTAATGTGATCATTTATAACAACAATGCTATTATCGCCCAGCTCTCTGCCATCCGTGTGGCCCAGCAGAGCATCCCGAGAGCCGCTTCCATGTTTACCGCCTTTATGGACATGGGGGGGGGGTCCACAAGAGACTGGCTTTCAATCAGACGACCTGTACTGACATTCCTGCCAGCTAACAGTGTACGGCCGTGGAGTACGACGACCACGGGGCTGCCAACTCCCACGCATCTGGCGTGGCACTCATACTTTCAGACTCTCACGCTCACACAAGAAATCTCACGGCAAATCAATATTATTCCATTATAAGCCTAAAATTAGCGACATCAAAAGTGTTGGGGTAGCCTGCAAATTCTGCAAGGTAATAAAAGACTATTTGCAAGGTAATAAAACCGTTACATACATGTAAATGCGCATGCAAATCTCATGCCAGTCAGCGGACTAAAGCTGGCAACCCTGCAGCCAGGTTCATAGGAAGCCACTCGATGGCTTAAGTAGCAAATCTAAGCAACGTTTCATAATAACTGTTTGTTAAGTGTCTGTGTGATGCTTCTCCTGTGGTACACACCATAAAAAGAAATGTCGTATTATGTTCTAAAATACGCAGTGAAGGGATTCTGGTACCCGGCAACCCAAAGATTACCGCAGTGAGGGGAAAAAAAAAAAAAAAAAAAAAAAAACGGAAGCAGGAGACTGTAACCACGCACACAAACAGGCGGGGTGGCCAAAACGCCACAGATCCTTCCAGAATCGGGGAAAAAGCAGACTGAAAATGTAACTATGAGGTAAACACATGTCTGACATCAACAACCGGCAAATAAATTAACAGCACAGCTCGCTGGCCAAGAAAACGCCCAACAGAGCCAACCACCATCATCAATTCATCTCCAGCAGGTTTCCCGAGTTTTACCCTACTGCGCCGGTACCAGTGCTATCACTAAGGAAACATCACTCTGGGGGACCTTCAGTCTGCTGTGCTTTTTCTCAGGAAGCCCAGGAGCCGCATCATGGAGATGATGGAGGACCGACGGAGGACCATTATCTGCCCCGGCTTCTGACCATTTCCTCTCTCCAGCCTCATTGGTCACCCCGGCCAAAACCTGCCCTCATCACACGCCCTGCGGACGGCACACAGAAGCCCCGCCCAGCATGGGGGGAGTCGGCAAAGGCCACTCACAGGAAACCAGCCATTAGGCAAGACGGCAATGCGGGCGCACGTGGGTGTGTGTGTCAGAGACCCAGTCGGAGGTACGCTTTGCGTACATGTGACTCATCCAGCACGTCCTCTTGGCACTTTAGACCTCAGTGAACAGATGAGCTGGAATGGTTAAGGGCTGGAATGAAAAGCAGACACCCGCCACCCCACAAGGCTGGAAACGGCACCCCCTAATGGTAACCCATAAGGCGAATGAGCACTGTAGGACACCATGGAGATAGCACAGCGCCCAACACACACACACGCACACACACGCACACACACGCACGCACACACACGCTTGCGAGCGTGGTCCCACCCTGCCGATAAATACCGTTTCACCACACGCTCATTTGGCCAGGCCTTTTGTCCCACCCCTGCCCTCCGAAGGCAAATAAATCACTAGGTAACCAGATCATAACAACATGGCGACCTGCCTCACGCGACCCCGCCTATTCCCAGGCCGCCGTCTATCATCTCCCACCATCCCCTCATCTCCCATGCCACTGCGCAATTAGCCAGCTATTTTAAAAAGCGGAACACAACGACATCGTATTAGTGCTGTCGCTACCACATTTCAATGGGAACGTTGCGGCTTCCCGGGAAGGGGGTCCTCTGCGTTAGACCCCCACGAGAAAAAAAAAAAAAACACTCGTTCATGGGAGGAAGTAAACGAAAACACAGTAGCTTTAAAGTGGCTTAGCGGCACTAAGTCAGACGAGTCTCCATGAGGGCAGGGAATGGATGTTAGGCACGGCTTTCAGACGAGCTCGTCAGCCTCCACATTCACACGGTGATGGCTTTAAGCGACGGCACTCAAGCGGCTGATGGAAAAGTGGAAAGTGTCCCTCATTTTTTTTCTTTTGTGACTTTATGGGCGAGATGAATCTTCCACGGTAAAGACAGAGACCGCATAACTATGGGGACATAATGAGGGATTTTTACCATTTATGTCAAATGGGGAGGGGGGGGGCTCAAATTCTGAAAATGGGTCCAAAAAAAGGCAGCGGGGAATGACTGCTGCTTTTTAACATTTGACTAAAAGCGAGAAGAAAAAGGGATCTTAGAGACGACGGCACGCCTGCTCACGCAAGTGAGATACAAAGACGACCATACGGGGGGGGAGCTGTTCTGGCTGCCTCAGCAGTGCCCCCCCCCCCCCCAGTTCTGCGCCGCCCGGACTCGCCGCGCCGTGTAAACACCTCCGTGTCAGCTGCCGGGAGCTGTAATGAGATTTTTCTACCTGGGAGGAGACATCAGCTTTCACTCTGCGGACGGATCGATGAAACCGCAAGCAAATAAAGGATTATAAAGGGGGGGCTGTAATCACCCCCACTTTCCCCGGCACCCACCTGAACAATAAATCAATTGCTGATTAAATCACTGAATACATAATCACATGCTGATTCTCCACCACTTGCAGTTTCTGAAGCCAGTCAGTTCATGCCAGAGCAGATGCCACTTTCGGAGGAGTGGTGGGGGGTTGGGGGTGAGGGGGTCCTTCTTTCTTCTTCCCAACCTAGCCAGACGACCACACCCCTCCCGATTCAGCTCTACACTGACCAACGACAATCCACACGTCAGCTCCGTCTCCTTGGGCCCCGAGTTCCTGCACCCATGAATGCTGAGCGGCTGATATCATCAAATCAATGGAGAGACTTGGAGTCGCCTAGGACCGTGAGTCGGAGAGAAATCCCGAAATCCACACGTTCGACCCACGAAAAAGACCCAAAAGAAAGACACCAATTTCATGACAACAAGCTGACATCTGTGATTGAAATCGAAACGGGAGATTCCTCCGCCTTCACTCTACTGGGTTCCTGGCGGTTGCCAGCTGAGCAGTAAGCGGTTGGCTTTAAAGTGAGGTGTTGTCAACAAGTTATCGATTAACGTTCGCGCGCAGCACGCTCTGTAATGTGATGGCAGGGGCAGATGTATGATGGGTAATCGAGGGATTGACGTGCACGGTGTGGGACTATTTACCATTTATCAAGGCTGCCTAGCAGGAAGGATGTAATAAGGTCTCCC